GTAAAGTAAAATCCCAAAGGCTATTCTTTATACATATTTTCATCACTTTGTACCCCTAGACTGGATTTTTTATGAATATGATTTACTTGCTAAAAAATAGAAAGGATGGCATTAAGGGTTTTGTTCGCTTTTTAAAGCTAGCTGCTAGAATTATGTATTTTGAAATTCATCTGAATGCAACTGGGCACAGCATTAAACGGTTTTTTAAAACATGAAAACCAAAACCTGGAATCACTGGAGAAAAAGACATTCTTTCTAGAAAGTGGTAATTATGTACAACAGTAGCAGTTCCAGGCAGATTATCCCAGTCTTTCTTTTCTGTTTGTTAACTACAGTACCATTTTGGAGAACATGAATTTTCATCTGGTTGAACTCTAGGTGAGAGTTGGGCCTGTATGGTTTCAAAAGTGTTCAACAAAGAAAGAACAGCTATTAAAAAGCAAGGGTAGAGGCAGATAATAAATTTAAGAAAAGATAAAAAGAAAATTTTCTATAAAAATGGAGAGAAAACGGTTTAGCTTTAACAATTCTTACAAATCAATGCTCCAGAGTCTAGAGTTCTGCAGTTGTCACTAGATCCATTTAACATGTCCTGCTTTCAATATGAGTATATTTACTGACCTTACTCCTTTGAACTCAGAGACGTAACCCCCAATGCACAGTGGGAAGGCCCTCCTTGTTTCTCTTCTCTTTGCAGTCTTGTAGTCCCACTCTGTTTAACCAAATAGTATACACTTAATTCAGGAGAAATAAGTGTAATAAAAAATATAAGATAAAATAAAATAAATTCATCCAGAATAGAAATTCACAAAATATTCCTTCTTGCCTTTTTTTGACTATAAAATCAACCAATGCAGAGAAGTTCCTATACAACCAGTGTTACCAGTTATTTATTCAACCCCCTTCAATGCATATTTATTGAGTATCTTTTCTGTTTTACTTTATTGTTTGATAACTCATTCTGCCATTCCCTGCAGAGGCATAAGCTAACAGAGAAGGAGAAAGGAGACTGCCATTCATTGAACCTGCTATATACTTAGCTTTGATTTCAGTATTCTTATGTAATCCTCACAACCGAGTGGGATAGGGTGATGTTATTCCTATTTTCTAGATGCAGAATTTGAAGAATGATTTTCCTAAAATCACCCAGTTAAGAAGTGGCAGATCCAGGATTTAGAGTTAATCTGTCTGATGCCCAAGCTCTAGGTTTTCTATTAAACACATAGGACCCAGGACTTGCCTGCCCCTGGCTAAACCCTGTTTCAAGACTGCAAGGTGCTTTTGTATTTGGACATAGGTGGCAGCTCTGAGATCTTGTGTAAGCTTAAGTCTGTATACTCTGAGATGTGTTTTCGTAGCATGAGGGAGATATTGGATTCACTTGGTTTTATGAATTACTATATTATAGAAATGTAACTTGATGTATAAAAACAAGGTTATACGCATTTTTATAATCATTTTTTAGAAATCAATCTAAAGATGAAAGATGAACTTTCTGAAATTCAACATTTCATCTTCACTTTGTATTGTTTTGTTTTTATATTTGTCTATTTCCCAGTGAGGTTACCAAGGAAACAGGAACTTTATTATGAATTACCTTGTATTTAACATAGTTCCTGGGTGTCTTGTTAAATGTTTGTTGAATAAATGACAATCTATGGGTGGTAAACTTTTATAAGAAATGATTCTTTCTTTGCCTTTAGATTTGGCATCTCCCTGTTGTGGCTCTTTTTTTGTAAAATAGACACATCCATTCACCACCTCACTTAAATTTTCTTTCAGATCAAGGAAGGGGTGACTTTCTCTGTTGGTCTATTATGATGCTGTTCTTTATGTAACTTCCAAAGTAAAAGGGAGTGCAGGACATAGTAGGCAAGAAAGCTTACAGTTTCTTTAGTAAAAGTAATGCAGTGTTTCTTAAAATAATCATAATTCCAAAATGGAAATTCATATTCTTGCCCTTTGAGATTCAGGTTTTTTTTTTTTTTTTTTTACTAGGCAAAGAACTTTATTAACCTTTGCTTCAAACTTTATTCCCAAGCTTCTTCACCTTAATTAGCTGCAAAGAATGATTTGTGTATAAGCAAAAACTGAAAAGAGCTGCAGTGTCCAAGGGGCTTGGGCTTAAAAATATTAGATTGAGATTTTATCAGATCCATGAACAAAATTTTAAAAAGCAGTCATAATATAAAATAGCAGCTCCCAGTAACTTCTTCAAGTTTTATTTTCTTCAGGAGTTGACTCAATTCAGTTTGCTTCATTCTTGGAAGCCTCATCAAAATTCTCCACAAGATCTGGAACTTCATCATCATCATCCTCTCCAGTAGCAAGTGGTGCTTTTCCATCCACAGATTGTTTGGGCAGAGCTTCAGCCCGTCTCCTTAAACTAGTCAGACTGTCTGCACCAAGCTGGTTTAAGATGCCGGGTAGCATTTCTGTCAGCTGCTTGGTCTCAGCGTGGCCTGTGATGGTGAAAGTGTTCGCTGCCAGAGAGGCTTGAACTTTAGGGTTGTTAAAGTGGATCACTGTTCCTTGGTTTGTGAACATATTCACCTCTTCAATACCAGAGATATTGTTTACCCCTAACTTCTTTAAGGAGAACTGAAGTTTTTTATCATCTGCTGTAGCTGTTCTGTGAACCACCTTCTTCTTTCTGCGAGCAGTTCCTTTCCCACCAATGCGCACTTGTGCCTGCAGTTTGGCGAGTTTCTCCTGGTTCATGATAGTTTCTTTCATCTTGTTGGAGAGGAAACGGGACCGCGCGGGGGACTAGGGTTGGCGCTCAGGGGGTCTTGGGCAGACCAGCTGAGAATAAACACACACACGCGGGGACGCAAGATGGCCGAGATTCAGTTTTAACCAACCTGTATTATGAGCTTTATTTAGTTTTCAGATCAGTTTTCTGAAGACTGGAAGTTGGATTGGTCTGGAAGTATAGAGTTGAAGTGTGGGCTAAGGTATTGTGAATAGTACATATAGGGTCTCTTGAAGTCACTGTGAGAAAGAATAAAGGACAAACTTGATTAGTCTTTTTCACCCAAAAAACCTAGAGGTAGCCAGGAAATCCTCTCCTTGAATGGATTAGAAACAACCCCATTGTAAATTGCTAGGAAGTCTAACTCTAGACTTATACTCTTTCAGTCTAACCATCCCAACCAAGGTGAAGCCAGTTTATCCATCTTTTCTTCCACCCTGTGCTCCCATACTGCTCAGATTTCAGAAAACAATTGAGTGACAAATGCCTACCACCATTGCTTGGATGGCCTTCATTTTCAGTGCCATACCCATTGTAGAAATGCCCACTCTATAATCATAAGCCGCTACAGGAGTAAAATGGTCTAATCCTTCATTGAAACACCTCTGAATGAATTGAAATATGAAGGGAGTTAATGTTAAACAATGCTATGAGTGTTTATTGTTGGAAGAACCTTATAAAAATTATAAAGTGGCTTTCCATGTTTATTTCTCGATAGCAGATAATGTACATTAGCAAAGAGGAAATAATAAAATATGTTAAACTGAAAAAAGCTTTTATACTTAACTTTGTAGAAATTTTACCTTCCAATTTTTAAGACTTACATTAAAATGCAAATTTACTTGAGGGAAATATGTCTTTAACATTAGAGGAAAAGGGAGAATGGGAAAGCGGAATTATATGGATCATTTACTTAAGTGTAAATCAAATGTAATTGCTTTTAAAGAACCAAAAGGTGAATAAATATTATTTTAGAGAAAGGACCAACATGGATAAAATGTTGGGTTCTAGAGTGAATAATTATTAAAGTCTAATTTGAACTACAGAAACAGATACTTCAGGCCATTATAAAAATTTTTGTTTCCTTTTTTAAGGGTACATTAAAAGTAAAATCTTAAGGAGTTTCTAAACCCTGCCCTTCTGGAATAAAACCTATACCAGAATAATATTTTGCATAAGTTTGCAGTCATATTTAAACACTGTTTTAGTGTGAAACGAGGTGTTCTTTTAGTATTTTAGTTCACCTCTGTTTTTGTATTTTTAACAATGAAATTAAATATATCCTTTCTGATTTGTTTAGTTTTTAATCGGTTCACTCAAGGCTACCTTTGGGAGGCCATGAGGCTGGTCCCTGGTGCCTTTTGACATCAGCTTTCATTAAAGTCAGTGCACGTTCTTGCCTTTGTCTTCTGCAAGGACACGGCTGCTAGGCATGCCAACCTGGATCAATTTCTGAGGTTTGCTACAGGAAGCAAAATACTGAAATTATCATAAAACTAAACCATTTTTCCCCAGATTTTAAAGTATGTCACCAAAATCTAACTCAAAAGTGAGAACAGAATTTCTAGAGTCCAGTAGTTTATGACTTATATGCCATATATATATTGCAAACATTTCTTGCCCACACTTAACAAGCAGACACAGAAGAATGACTATGTAAAAGGGAAGAGCAGATCATTGACCCATGGCTAGAAATAGCAAAAGTATGTTTCTGTTGCCATCCTGCCCTACTGTATGACTCAGGTTCTGGAATCAGCTCTACTTTAAATGATAGCTGGCATCACACTCAGGTGATCCCTAAATGGAGCTTTCCCATTGAAAGACGTGAATGCTGGGGTCTAAAGTGCATTGAGTATTTCTGTTGATGAACTTGAAGAGACCATGTTAATGTAGAAATTTCATATATCATGGAGTTAACTGATTGAGTCTAGAATGTGTTCTAATAGGATATGAAGTTTATTTTCCCCTGTTTTTCCATAATGAAGTGGCTTAAAAAGATAAATAAGTACAAATTTTTCCTTCTAAAATAGTCATGTTTTTGGCTAGTTATCCCGAGTTGTTGCAAGTTCTCTCTTTGTGTTCAAAAGTTTAATTTTTTGTATTCTCAACGATTCAGAGATTAGCCACAGTTTATTTAAGAAAGACACACAAACAAAGCAGTAGTTTGTTTTGTTTTGTTTTGTTTTCAGAAAGAATTCACTTGCTTACTTTTCTTAAAAACATCTTTCCCATTTCATTGAGGCAGATTTGGAAGTCAAACCAGAAACTTCAGGCTGTACTACGATGGAAAGCACTTTGTTGGGGAGAAGCGCTTTGAGTCCATCCACGATCTGGTGACTGATGGATTGATTACTCTCTATATTGAAACCAAGGCAGCAGAATACATTGCCAAGATGACGATAAACCCAATTTATGAGCACATAGGATACACAACCTTAAACAGAGAGCCAGCATACCAAAAACATATGCCAGTCCTGAAAGAGACACATGATGAGAAAGATTCTACAGGCCAGGATGGGGTATCAGAGAAAAGGGTAAGCTACCATGAAACCACACTTTATCTTCTTCTGTTTGGGGTCCTTATAAGAAAGTCATTATTGCCAGAAGAGATTGACTTCTCCACAGTGCTTTGAAAGGCCATGTTTTCCTTAATGTCTAGTTTCCATCATGCTAAGCTTTGGTATATTTAGTTCTTGTTTAGTTAAAATATGAGGTATAGTTTTTGTACTCCTGATTATTTCCTATTTTATCAATTTAACATTTTAAAAAATATGTGGGGAAAATGCCCTAGTAAAAAAGTGCAGGGGTTTGGTTTAGAAGCATTAACTTATGGTCAAGAAAAGATAGCTATATTACATAAGAAGATTGAAGAGTCACAATATCTATCAAAATTACTTTTTTGTTCCCCTTAAAAGATAATTCCCCTTATAAATAGTTCTGCTCTTTAGCAAAATGATATATATCCATATTTTTAAGTCTACATGATTAAATTCAGTCTACCAATAGCTATTATACTATTTTGAGAATCAATCAGTCTTGAGTAACAGGAGGAGTTATCTGTTTATGGACTCTTAGGAAGTAATTGAATCAGGAAGGTTTACTTTTCTTTTATTATAAAAGACAATTTAAGTTTTCATTTGTCATATTTTAATTGTAATATGTTTAAGGTTAACATCAGAAATTTTAACTCCTTGGTTGTATTTTATTTTGAAAATTGTCCCTAGACCCCCCGACCCCCAAAAAAGAGTGAATTTCTTGATGTTTATATTGAGTGGGATTTAGTTGAAGGGGGTTATTACAGTTGTGTTCATTTATTCTTATATTTTTGAGAATCTTGAATTACTATATTAAAGAAATGTGGTATTATATAGTGGTTTGAGCTTGGATTCTGTCACCAAATAGATTTGTGTGCAAATTTTCCAATTTTACCAGTTCAGTGAACCTCAGCAAGCTACTTAATTTCTCTGTGCTTTGATATTCTTATATTTAAAATTGTGATAATAATCAAGTTGTTGTAAAGAATTGATTGAATGAGATAGTAAGTGTAAAATAATCAAATAGTGCTTGGCACATAGTAAGTCACTCAATATGAGTTTGGTGATAATGTTATCATCATAACAGCGGCATCCTAAAATACTTCCCAGTTATCTTGGAGTATTTGGGTACAGAATGGAAATTTACAAATGTTTATTGTTCAGTCCAAATTTTAGTTTCTGGCAGGTCTTACTTAGAGTAGCATTTTGTGGCTACAGAGAAACCAACGTCTTAAATTATAGACTGTAGAAAATTTGTAAAAAAGGGTTTTTCATATGCTCATATTTGTTAGGAACTACGAATCTTTTTTGGAAGTAACCAGAATTTAGAATCCTAAATGCATGCTGTATTTAATTTCCTTTTCACTCTCTAGTTCCCATTTTCTCACTTTGGATTATTGTCCATTTGTGGCATTTTTCAATAATGCTTGTATTTAAATATCTAATACTAATATTACACTTTATGCAGATGTGCTTGAATATTCTAAGTCAATATTTTTTTAATGTATATGTGTGAGTCTTTCAAAATTGATCAGTCTAATGATAACCTATGTGAATGTGTTTTTCATGTACTTTTCATCATCAAGGAACTTGAACTAATGACACTTAGCTATTTAACACTGGGATAGTCATTTAACTTCCCAAGACCTTGGTTGTCCATCCTACAAAGTAAAAACAATATGCACAGAGGCAAGAATCTGAGGTACATAATATAATAACTTGAGGATCCTTTTAGCTCTAGTGTCCATGATTCATTATGTATTCTGGCAACATTACATGTCACATTACCTAGATTCTGTTCTGCTGATGGCCAGTGATAGCTACACAGAGTGAAATAACTGACGCTGGGAAATCTTTCTGCAGCAGTACATAACTAGGACTCTTAAAAAATCATTCTTTGCATGCATCTTAAATCTAGTTGGCTTAAAATCTACTTACTCAAAAATAGATTTATTTTATTTACAGGTGTCATCCAACAGGACAGGGATGATGACCTGTTCAACAGCTTGAAACATTGATTCCCTGTCACAGTGGATGACATTTGTAAGTAAAGACAATCATGTTTAACTGATTTAAAATACCTATTGACACAAGTATGGTTTCATAAACCTTTGACTGGGTCCTATATAACTAAAGCCTCTCTTGTCCATGGCAGTTTTTCCGCAGAGGCAAAAGTGTTGGCTTTGCAGGAGTTAGTATGCTGTTGTGGAAAAAATAGTAGTGTTGGAAATAAGAGCTAAGTCCTAGTTGTACAGGAATTGATTTTATGTGTCACTTTGGGCACACCACTTCATTTCTCTGAGACTATATTTTCTCACATTTAATAGAAGGGCTTTGTCCAAGATGCGGTTATTATAGTCAGTGATACTTCAAGGAGTCTAGGTGTTGTAGGAAAAAGACAACACAGTACTAGAAAGCACTGAAGTAGGGTCTTGAAAGGAGCGAGCTGTTTTTAGCTAATGCACCAGCTAATGGTATGACCTTGAAATAATCCCTTAGCCTAATGTGGACTTAAGTTTCTTCATGTGTAAGACAAGGAGTTATCTATAAAACATTAATTTTATAGGCTTTTAATAAATACTTAACTGAAAAAAAGGGTTCTGTTTTCAAATAGGTTCGATAAAATTAAGATTCTCAGAAAACTTCACTATTTCTTTTCTTTAGGCTTCTCAGCTTTATTAATGACCAAATGTGTATTATGACTCTCAAAAGTGCTCCCAAACTTAATGTGAATCAGCCCGCGGCTATTCAGGAAATTTTAGGAAAATAATGTTCTATGAATCCCACTTTGGAAAATTTTGAACCAGATGATCTCTTAAGGTCTTTTATTGTTCTAAAACTAAATGATGAGTATTCCTTGTTTTTGTTTTTCAGTCTTTAAGGTGTAAGTTGAGCATCTGAGCTTTTATGGAAGGTTGGCAGGATGGTTTAATGGCTGTCAAGTTTTTTGCCACAGGAAGTGAGTCCTGGAGATACTTAGTTGTCCCTAGGAAATCTGGTGGCCTACTGTGAGGGGGAAATTTTTTTTCCAAGTAATAACTATGTCATTTTTCTTTTTCTATTTTATTAACTATTTAAGTTGCTTCCTCAGCTTGAAATATCAATTAAAAACATAAAAAAATATTGAGATCTTTAATCATAAAATTGTAACATGTTGAAAAGTCAGACTTCCTTCTCTTTTAAAATAGCTTAGCTTTAGCAGTCCAAACTGGCCAAGAGCCTAACTTTCATTAGTTCCTTTTTAAAAATTTATCTTGGAACTGTATTTGAATAGTTTCTTCTTCCAAGTAGTGAATATAATATGTTTGCTTCAACAGATACTGGACCAATGGCCGAATACAATATTTTTTATGATAATTTTACACTTATTAACAATGTAGTTTTAAATCCTCCAAAACTATGTGTTAGAAAATGTCTCGTATAGCTGCAAATAATATAAACTGTCAAATAAAACATATAATTTGCATTTCAGAAATTATACTCTGAGTCAGATCTCTGAATCTAGCCAGAACCTCTTTACTTTTGGACTTAGTTATCTAAGCTCCAAACATGTCTCCCATGTAAGGATGGACCTGTTTAGCAAAAGGGTTTGCAAAACCAATATGTTGATTTTATGGAACTGCACCAAGCTAAATGACGTGTGTGTGTGTGTGTGTGTGTGTGTGTGTGTGTGTGTGTGTGTGTGTGTGTATTTTTCCCTGTAAGTTTAAAATGAAAGCAATAGTTGGCATGTTGTCATATTAATTTTTTCTTAAGGAATTTCTTTTATATTTAAATTCCATTTTTTTTAAAGATATCTTTAGGGATCACCAGACTACATATATATTGAAAAGCCTTGTGATAGTTGAAGTTGAAATGGAATTGGGGCCCTACCTAAAACTGCCATTACTACTGGAATTCTTTGGGTACCTCCATAAATGACAGGAGCCTTTGCCCCCTGAAATAGTAAAAGGAGCACAGATAGTCTGGTCTGCTAATTGTCGTAGTATCTCACAAAGCAACTCTTCTACCGTGTTTTCCCGAAAATAAGCCCTAACTGGAAAATATGCCCTCGCGTGATTTTGAGGGTGCTCGTAATGTAAGCCCTACTCCAAATATAAGCCCCAGTTAAGCTCGTCAGTCAGACATGACTGTATTTGAATAAATGTAGTTTTTGTACATGAATAAATGAATAAAATGCATCTTTTGGAGCAAAAATTAATTTAAGACCCGGTCTTATTTTCAGGGAAACACGGTAAATGTTTTTACTTTGCTTCAAAAAATATATCACATTATCTGTATCCATATACTCTCATATAGAAATCAGCAGGAAGTCCATACTGAAACTTAATCATTAGAAAGTAACAATACCACAGGAGTAGGTGGCATAAAGCAATCTGCAGAAGACTGTGGTTTACTTCTTGATTTTGTGCTTTCTCACTCCTTGGGGCCTATCTTTTTTTCTCCTTCCTGTTCCTCCCCAAACTGTACTCCTCTGCTCTTCTTCCTAGCCCTGCCTTCTCCACATCCATCTCTGTGTCCTGTCGCCCAAAACATGCTCAGATTTCCACTGTGCCTCATTCAAGGTTAAGACCAGAGGTCAGGATGAATAGCCTCTTAGAGAACTGCCAGATGTGCCCAAGGTCACTTACTTGCATTAAAAAGCCAATTTAGTAATTTATGAGGAAGGCTACAACTTCTATACAGAACTTCCAATAGTGGGTTTGTCCTCCTCTGTAAACATCCTTCTGAAGAAATCAAGTAGAAATTTTTTTTTTTGAAGTCTACATGGTTGGTATATAAGTATATGTTAGTCTGTGGGGTTTTGAGCAAGTCTTTACTCCCTGGGGCTCCAATTTGCCCCCGTCACTGAGATGCCATTGCACTGGTAGTTATGAGTATTACTTAGATTTTGTAATGTGGTCTCCTTGTAAACGTAGTGGTGTGGGGCTCATTATCACACTCCGGTATCAGAGCGCTCCCCAACCGGGCGCCCGTTCATGGATGCTGTTGTACTGAGT